GCCTGTGAAATACTTGTTCTGGCCTTGTAGCTGATGATAAAGCAGGCTCCTGCAAGACTTTGCTGGTGTGGGGTGTCATGATGCACTGATACAACGTGTGAGGCCTCTGTGGGCCTGTAAAACATAGCACAAAACAACACAAAGAAATGAGAAGGCTGCTACTAGATTTTCATTTTCAACATTGAAAAGAAAAACAGGATATAAACAGATTGGTTGTAGATATTTAGTAAAGGTGATTACAAGGGAATCCAACCAAGTAAAAAGTTATCAGTGCTTGCTGTAAATCTGATGCTACAATTACATACCTGTGGGTGCAGCAGCAGGAGCTGTGGGACCAGGGACTGGGGAGCAAGGAGAAGCCACAGGGGATGCTCTGCTGCAGAATCAGTTGGCTCTGTCAAGACAATATTAAATGTTAAGAGGTTGAAAACAACAGTCATAGAGAAAGTATATGCAGTGGTTCCATTATTTATTGCAGCAGGGGTTCTCAGAATAACTAGCCCCTCACCACACACTTTATACACTTTTTTCCCCACACACATGAAGATTAGTCACAGTTCTCACGAGTTGATTCTCAAAGTACAAACCTTTGTAGATTTCAAAACGTGAAAGTATGATTATGCCGAGTTTTGTCTTCATCTGTCGACCACTTTCCTGCGCCTTTTTCTCTCCCGGTGCAGGCATCTATTTCCGAATGAGGCTCATAGTTATGGGTGTTTTTGTGCTGTTTTTTCTATTGGAGGTGATAGTTATCAAAACCAAACATGATAAATTTGGCAAGCGCAGGAGACACGACATGGAGGAGATTTGTCAATCAGGCTGCAGAATGCAATGCGCATTGTTGAAAGCTTCACAGTGCAATAAAAAAATCAGTTAAAAAGTGAAGCAGTGACGGATGAACAGCGGGACCACTGTGTGCTGTTTATTAATAAACAAAATATATTCCTATATGACAACATGCATAAAAGCAGAAAGGTATTTGTACGTCAGTGGGAAAATAGCGGGACAGCAGGCTGGCGTGCTCTTGTGCGGCTTCCCCAGGTCAGTCAAAAATTTAAAAAGAGAAATGAATGAACTTACCAGTTTGCCCGATTTCTTCACACACAAAAACTGACTCATAATTTTATTCGCGTGTCAGATGCGCCAGACGCGCTGCTTTGACGCGCGTTTGATACGTTTTCGTGACACAAATCTGCTTATGAATTTTCGCGGGACCTGCAATCGCGCGTCATCGCGCTTCTCCATTGACTTTACATGTAAACCTGATACTCTGGTCGCATCTATCGCGTTCAATGTGAACACACCATAAGAGCCGTTTCATTCGCGACCGACACATCACTACTTCCGTTGTGTTTTGAACGTGCTTCGGAGTTTTTACATGTTTTGGAGTTTGTATGTGCTTTGTCTCTAGCGGCTACCGTAAATATACTTTTATTTATTCACTCCACATAAAATGTAACAAATAAATAATATAATACAAAAAACAGCTATTTACATTTCAACTTTTAACTATTTACATTTTCAGCTTTTTCCTTTTAAACAAATTTAGAGTGAAACAACACAAAACACTGCAAACCACAAAACAATTAAGTATAAATTAAAATATGCAAAATAAAAAGAAGATGCACATTCTCTGTCATATAGGCCTGCATGAATAAACCTTCTGAATCCTTTATGATCCGCAACTGAAAATAGTTGTGGACCATTACTACATCATTCTAATGTGACGTTGTTGTCCCTGACACATCACTACTGGCTTTCCAGGAAGCAGCTGAACAATGAGGAAGTAAGTGGAGCTTGTTGTCGGTGTGTTTGAAGAAACTGTAAGTTTGCTTTGTTTCCTTTAACGGTTTGTCTTTAGAAACTTTACTGTTTCTTCAGCTCATGTTTGATTTATTCACACAACTAACTCTGTGTGGGTTTTTTTTCCGGTCTCTCCTTTAAAGTCGGTGTGTAATGTTTTTCTGGCTAACATCAGCTGTGTAGGGCTGGACTGGCCATCGGGCATACCGGGCCGCTTGTGATTTTAAGATTTTATGGGCCGATGGGGTTTTATTTCTTTTCCTTTTTTTTAACGGTATAAATGAATGGTGGTGGATTGGCCAGTTGGTCATGATCGACTTTGGACTGGACCAATTACAGTCGGGGAGGTCGAACTTTAAAGTTGAGGTGAAAAGGAACGTGATTTGTCCCTATTACTACTTAAGCTAGAAAGTTGCTAATTCAATCATGAAACTGATCAATGATCAGCTGATCGGCTTTTCTCTCTGCGCCAGAAAGAGGAAACCAGGGGATGTCACGCTAAACAAGAACAACACGTTTAAGCTTGATCAGCTGTTGTTAGCATTTATTTAATATTACTTTCTAGTATCAGCTGATGTTTGCTGGAGCCACAGCTGTAAAGCTGCTGGTGTTCCAGATCTACTGGCGTTTAGATCAACTGGCGTTGGTCGATGTGTGGCAGACTTGCGTTTCAGGAGCTGCTACCGACAAACCAGCAAACAAAACGCCAAATGTGTCATCTGTGACACTTGTGAGGTTATCTCAAACACACTCCGTCAGTTTTGATGCTGTTTAACAACAAAATGCTTAAAAATGTGGCGAGTTTACCTGGTGATATCCTCATGCGCGACGCGATCGCGAAAACAGCAAACAATTAACACCACGCCGATGTTGTTCACAGGACAGCAAGAGTAAACGATCGGGAGACTCTTGTTGTCGTTATCGCCCCCCTCGCACGTTTTATTACTCCGATTTCAGCGTTTTTGATGCACAACTTAAGCGAGCAGTTTACTTTGTGTGCACTAACATGAACTCAAATCAACTAGCGCCACCTGTGGCCAAGTGCCACAGCCTACAGCCAGATCAACTTGTGACACACATCTGCAGCACGTTTGAATTCGTTTCATGCACAACACATTTGTACCTTTCAATTGTGTCTGTCTGTGCGTCATGCAAATAAACCTTTGAAATGAATGAAATGATATCA